GAAGTGATTTTTTTTTTTTTTTTTTTTAATCCTCACTTGAGGATATTTTTTCCATTGCTTCTCAGAGAGAGTGGAAAGGAGGGGCAGGGAGAGATAGAAACATCGAAGAGAGAGAGACACATCAACTGGTTGCCTCCCACACTCACTCTGACGGGGACTGGGGATCGAGCCTGCAACGAAGGTACGTGCCCTTGGCCAGAACAGAACCCGGAACCCTTCAGTTGGCGGGCCAACGCTCTAACCACCGAGCCAAACCAGCTAGGGCAGGGTGATCATCTAATAATTATTTAAACAGACAATGCAAAGTGGATATGGTAAGGAGAGATTTAGTTTTTGATGGGCGAGTAATGAAAGTCTTGCTGGAACAAGTGGCATTTGATATGAGACCGACTGGAATTTGACAAGTAGGAAAAGATGGGAAGGGCAAGACATTCCTGGCAGAGGGGATAAAATGAAAAGTGGGGATGTATCAGGTATGTTCAGTGGGTTGTCAGTAGTCCAGTTAGTTGGTGCATGAGTTGCATAAGTGGAAATAGGGAGAGGTTGGGCTTAAAAATTAACTTTGCAAATGCAAAGCTTAATGATGGCTTTGAAAGACAGACTGAGGGGTTGCTACTTCTCTAGACATCACAGAGATCACAGGTTTAAGAGCTGGTTATCTTACTGAAAGTACTATATCCTAAGGAAATCAAGGGCAGGAGTTTTAAAAGTTAAAGACAAATTCCAACAAAAAATAGCAAAAAGACAACTTACATCATAAAGAAATGCAATTCCAGCAATAGTAATCATTAAGTAAAATGCAAATCGCCAGCTGCCAAAAGAAAGAAAAGTCTGGTAAGGGTGGGTGACGTTAGAGGAGAAAACCATTTGGTGTGACACAAAGAACACACATTCTGGAGTCAGATCAATCTAAGCTGCCCCTCATTAGATGGCTGAACTTTAGGGAAGTCAGTTAACTTTAAGGAGCCTTCATTTCTTCATCTGCAAAATGGAAACAACAAAACTTACCTCAAAATGTAAAAAGAATTGAAAATAATTTATGAAAATACTGATCACAGTGTCTAGAACGAAGTAAGCAACAATAAGTGGCAGTTATTATTATATTATTATTATTATTATGCTTAGCCTAGTTCCTGACATACAACAAATGATGCTTGGACGTTAGTATTATCAAACCGCTTACTTTATCCCCATTTAATTCCCAGTGAAAGGTTTCTATGTGGCCAGACTTTTGAGCCTTGCCTCTGAAAAGCATATTTTGAAAGTATCATTTTCTCATATATGGAGAAAGACCTATAAATGAAGAGACTTAAAAGATATATCATCCAATTGTAATGCATGGGTCTTATTTAAAACCTGATTCAAATAAACAAACTGTAAAGAAGATTTGAGATAGGAAGATTTGATAAGAAAAAATGAACACATTAAATATTTGCTGTTATTAAAAAAATTTTTTAAAGTGTGATACTGGTATTGCAGTTATATTTAAAATTACTGTGGTATGTATCTTTTAGTGATATATATTAAAATACTTATAAATGAAATCATACATTTGTATAAGGCCTTACGGTGCCTTTGTCAACATGTGGACCCATGTATATTAAGAAAGAGGAATATGGGCATATTCCCACTTTGCAGATCAGAAACCAGGCTCCTGGAGGCAGGGCCATTTCCCCTGTTCACACAGCTGAGCAGTAACAGCTGGGGTGGAAGTACAGGCCTGTGGACTTTGAATCCAGCAGTGTTTCCTGAACATTGTCACATAAGCTTGATGACAGCTTTTCTTTATGGCTTGTTTTTTTGAGAAACAAGTAGGGTTCAATTGCTTAGAAAGCTGAACCATAAAAACACCCAAAGGGAATTTTATAAAATGAGCTGGTTGAGACCTGTTCTCACATCTTTCTTATAGCTGGTCCAGTAGAGCCCATGCTTAGAGGCCAAGAGCATTTCCTTGGCTCCCTGATGATCTTAGCCAAGCAAGAAGTCCAAGAACGAGATGACAATAAGACCTGCCAGCCCCAAAGGGAGCCAAGAGTCAGGTAGCATATCTCCTATTATGTGTTTCTCAAACATGCAGTGACCTCTGGACCCTGTGCAAGGCACTGTGCTGAGCACACATGTGCCATACCACAGTTTTTTCTTCCTAACAAGCCTATAAAGTAGGTACCTGGCTCTCCCAGGTGTAGATAAAATGAGTTCGAAAGGACACTGAGGTTGAGAGACATTACACAATGCATGGGTCTTATTTAAAACCTGATTCAAATAAACAAACTGTAAAGAAGATTTGAGATAGGAAGATCCAGGGCTGTACAGAAACATTTAGATCCAAGAGTGAAACCTAAGTTTCATATCTTTCTAGATCAGTCCTAGTAGGTTTCATCACACAATAATAGGGGTTCTCAAAGTGTGCGCCCAGGACCCCCAACAGTCTCTCTCGAGTCACTAGGCAATGTGAGGACCTCAAGAAATGGGCAGAAAGAAGGAGCATTCCTGGCGAGTAGAATGTGGTACCAAATACAATCCACTCACAGGCATTTGTCTGGACGTAAAGACAAGGAACCGAGTAAGAGCAAGGACCTAGTCCACCTTTTCTGCACAGGTGTCAGTTTCTGCCACCGAGGGTGTGGCCTAGAGCACTACAATATTCTACAGAAGAGAAAAGCAAACAAATAAAAGAAAGATCTCAAGTGAAACCAAAACTAAGTGCATGCAGCTCACTGTTCTCAGAACACATTCAAAATAGCCAGCTCTGGCAAGATCCCTACTTGGTGTCGCAGCCCATGCTGAACCCCTGCTAAACTAACTGGTAAACCCACAGGAACCGACCGCCCGTCCACAGGCGGGGGTGGGGAAGTGAGCCCAGGGAGCCAGAAGGAAGGCCTCTCAGCGTCGTGAGTGGAAAAAGACATTCTCTGCTCTTATAATGTGATACAACGATTATAATATGATTGGAAATAAGTGATAAGGTCTTGTGAACTAGAGCCAACCTCTACCCTAGAAAAAATAAACACCAGTTAACACATTTTTATGATTTTTATAGACTTCAGGATAAGTACAGAGTATCTCTTGCCCATCTTGGAGAGTTCATAGTTTGTCCAACTCACAGAGAAGGAGACTAAAGTAAAAAATGTAAACCAAAGACTAATTTAAAACACCCAATGGGGAAGGGATAGATCTGGGTGCAAACCCTTTGGATCTAACTGAGGACTCTTTCTGAGATGACCACTCTGCTCCATATAAAACTGTAGTACTTCAAAAGCTGGGACTGTCCTTACCAAGCCTCCCGGAATTTCTTCATCCTGCAAGGCCTCGCTTGATTCCGCCGACTCCGAAACCATCTTTCAACCTGGCGCTCTGTCAAGTTACACTTCTTTGCCAGTCCATAAATATCATCCTGAAGAGGGATGAAACGAATGAATGAGTGATAAAGAGCAGAGTCAGACTGGCAGGCAGTCAAGAGACAGTGAGATTGGATTACGAGAGCTTGTGCACTGGAGAGGGGAGAGATTCTGCATTCGAACTTGAGCCAGAGAATTTACCTCTTTTGCTTATGGAATCACACACACACACAATACCAAACCAAACCAAACCAAGCAAAACAAAACACAGAGAGAATGTTAGTGTCCAAAGCTCTGAGTTACTAAGAGAGGCCAATTCTCTACAAGTTTGTAGCAATCCTTGTGTTCAAGTTGTGTACATGAGCTCACTCATTCAGCTCAATTTTATTTAGGGCCTTCTAGGTACCAGGTGGAGTAGTATAGTTTAAGATGTAGATTAAACCCAATTTCTTCATTTTCCTTATAAGGAAACTGGAATGCTGAGAGTTTTAGTAATTACACAAGCCCAAAAATTAGTAGCAAAGTGAGGACTAGAACTTAGGCTAGGGTGTATTCTGCTATTTCACATGATCTAATAGCTCCAGAAGACAATGCAGGAAAAACTCACACAGGTGCTGGCCATCACTTTCACTTCGAATCAGATGTAGAGCCTATTTCAAACTGATGTGAAATAATTCCAATCATAAAAGTAATGATTGCAAAATATAAAAATGATGATTGCTTCTCTTCTGGGAAGCAGAAGTTACAGGTTATGATTTAAAATTGGAAACACGACGGATAATGGGTTAGCTCAAAGGTCACAAACTTGAAGTTCTCCCAGGCCAGACAAGAACAGAAGTGACTGAGTGCACCAGGTCTGCTTTAGAGTCGGATTTTAAGTTGTATTCTTTCAACACAGGCACGTTTTGCATGTTAAACCTACAGTACTCTCCACTTCCACAGTGAAATATGCTCTGTAATTTTTTTGAAGCACCAGCTTTCTTGTTCTTTCATTTTCCAATTTGATTACAAGAAATGTTATATTTCAATTTCCTCTTACCTTTCCTATGAGAAAAATAAAATTGCATAAAACTGATCCTCAGCGTCAGTGTTGAGGAACCAAGCAGAAGCCATGTCGACACAACAAACAGAAATGCCCATGCTCTGTCCCCAACGTGCAGCTATGATCATGCTCTGGCTGAGTGGGGCCAAGAGACCTGGCTCCTTGACTTAAAAACAAACCTCTGGGAGTGCAGCCTCTCTGGCTCTCACATGTCTCACCTGTAAAATAAACTGAACTAGAGAGCGTTTTGCTCTAAAAAGTCTAAATCTATGGATGAGGCAAGCTAGCAAATGGAATGCCTTCATGAACCATACTAGCTGGCGTTCTGTCAGTCTCACAGTGCCATGTGTTATTCAGATCTCTTCCAGAACTACATACTTATTTTTTCTGCATCAGTTCTCATTGTGGTTTTGCTGAGGGAAAGGGCTAGATAAGTTCTGCTGTTACTCCATTTTATCAATAGCAGAATAATTGATCTGTTGGCCAGAGTTGTTGGTCTGTTATTATGGCTCACTCCCGATACATCTTGAAGTTGTTATTGAGATATATATAGAGAGACATAAACATATATATAAATAATGGACACACAGCTGCACATACACAGTCACAAAAGAATGGTGTAAAATCATAGCTCAAAACTCTCATGGGAAGTTGATGAGCATAGTGTTTTGGGGCCTCATCAATACCATGTTATACCCTTCTGTGATAACCAGCCCAGAATCGACAATGTATATACTGAAATATTTCTGTTTTTATTGGTACAGTGCATAACAGCTGAAGGAGCATCCTCAGACCCACGTACTCAACAGTGTTAGTGAAGTCATGTGTTGTCCACATGTATTACCTCTGCAATATCGTGCCATTAGAGCTTTGGAATACTTCGTTAGAGGTAATACCCGTATCTTGAAACAGCAAAAAACTTTTTTTAGTTCCCCCAGCAACTTGTCTTACCTCAGCCAAATTTATGGCTATCTGTATGACAAAATACAGACAAAATGCTATTTGTATGACATTGGCCAAGTTAATATGGGAGGTATTATGAGATTATTTTGTTTCCACATCTGAAATCACTATTAAGTCATGTACTTTGCCTTCCTCTACTATATTCTGTCTTCCCAAGTTCTAGTACTTTTAATCTATGGGCATTTTTTTGGACAACTTGTTATCTTGATCTGCTATGCAAATACTGCCTCAATTTTACAGTCTACAAGCAATATAAATTAGAAATCTTAATTATTTTCCTTCGTCTTCTTGGTTTGTGGCTGATGTATAACACTTTTTCTTTTCCCTGATACAAATGTCCATAATGTGTGTCAACTGGGTTAGAACAATTACTACAGTTGTAACAGCCTTTGAAACACATGTTTAATATTCTATTCACAGATAAAGAAGTCACTGGGGGCATAACAGGAACAACACTGGACAGGGAGCCAGGGGCCAGGTTCCAACTACAGATTCAGCCACTAATTAGCTGCATGACCTTGAACAGCTCATTTCTTCTTCTGAGGCCTTAGTTTCCTCACCTGAATCATGAAGAAAAAAGACTGCCTCATCTCTAAAACTCTTTCAACTTTTCTTAGTTTTTCTTTAACTGGCACATGGCTACTTTCTCTCCAGTGTAGGAAAACTTGATAAGGACCAGATTTTCTACATAATTTTAAATCTACTAAAAAGCTTACTTGAATCTCTTGCTATAGCCAGCATAGAAGGTAATTGATAGCACAGAACTGTTTTTTCTGTTTTATATAAGGTATTACCAAAGCTAGTTACTCTCAAACACAAACAGAGAAGGATAATACGGGATTCCTGAAAAAGTCCTAACTTCAGAAGCATAGCTCAGTCATCTCCCTTTTGAAAGATGTGAAATGATGCTTAGGTGTTATTTTCACTAGTGTCAGCTATGGGCTACTCTGCCTTAAGAGTGATCTTTTTAAAAAATCAGTAAACATTGTATATATCCTACCATTAAAAACTAAATTTTGATCTTTACGGCATTAACTGTTAGTGTTCAACTTTAGAGTTATACACAATAGTTCAACTATTAACATTTGTTATTTTATATTGCAATACTTAGTTGTCATTTTATATTAGGCTTGGAATGCTATAAAACCTATCAATAGAGAAAAAGTCCAAATGGATCATTTGCCAGTTAACTGGAACAGCTTTCTTACACAGATGAGGTAAGCCACAGATGACTGAAACATTAAGAAAGAAGATTTTTAAATCCCAAAACTAAGAATTTGTACTTACTTCAGATGGCTGCCTTGAAGAATGTTTGAAAAAATTCTCTAACACAGTGTTTGGTATAATCTTTCGAACTTCCTCTTGGATGCCAAATGCTTTTGCTAGAGGTGTGGCAATAAATCTACAAAAATATGAAAGAAAGTAAGTCCAAAGTCTGATAATGAATCCACAATGACACCAAAAAACTCAGGTTGTAACTTTAGATTCCAAGTGAAAGCTCAGTCATTGGTTCATGTTGTCATTGAACTACCCACAGTCCACATCTACCTGCCTTGCAGAAGTTCAAGGAGAACAAATTTTGAGACCTTTTATACAAGCAGTAACTTAAAAAATAAAATACTGGCACAGTTCTCAAGTCCATTTTATGTAAATTCAACTATATTTATATATAAGATCCAGGAATTGGGATAAGCCATTCTACTCAGAGCTTTATTTTTAAGATTCCCAGAGATTAAAATAAAGGTTTTGATAGTAAAAGTTTCATTTGGCAATATTATCTTATGGAAATTACTATGTTCCTTTTTGAAGTTCTAACTTATAAAAATGTCATACTCCTAGGTAAATATCTATTATTAGATTTAGAGTTCATTCCTTTTTCTTGCTCATTAATAACCCATTGTACAGATATACAAACATTTAATAATGTCTTTTGAAGAGCAAGCATTTTAGCTATTTACCAAAAGAAATAAAAGCATATGACCACACAAAATCTTGTACTCAAATGTTCACAGCAGCTCTATTTGTAACAGCCAAATATTGTAAACAATCCACATTTCCATCAACTAGTTAGAGAATAAGTTAATTGTGGCATATCAATACATTGAAAGACTCCTCGGCAATGACAAGGAATCACTATATGTACATAGAACAACATGGAGAGTAACTGAGTGGAGTACAGGGGAGTTTTTCAGCTGATGAAAATCTCCTATGTCATAATTGCGGTGATTGTTACATGACTATATACATTTGTCAAAATGCATCAAATTTTGGAAGAACTTTACTGTATATAAATCAAATCTCAATAAAATTGATTTTTAAAAATAATAATAGGTCCTTATTCTTCTGTCAGCTCTAACAAAGGTTCTATCTTCTGCCAGGTCAGTCCATTCTTATACTTTGGAGTTTCTGTGTTTGATTAAATGCTGGAAATTTTAGTTATGAATGATCATTTAGCCCTTCAATCCATTTTTTATAACCACAGGAGTTGAATAAAAATTTCCTAAGATAATCTGATAAAATGTATAAACCATTCCAACTTTCAGATGGACTAAGTGCTCCTGGAAATGGCCCATACATTTCAGAGACATATGAAAACAAACTAATGATGCACCAGATGTACACAGAGCGATGTGGAAAGATCATAAAACACAGCGCCATACTTAGAAAAAGGAGAAATGAAATAAGGCCTTATCACCATACCACATGTCAACTAACAATACGTACAATTTATGTTTATGCACATATTTTACTGGGTCATGCAAACAAAAGCCACCAAAAACATGAGAACCCAGCAGGCAGGGTAATGGGACTAGGAAATGAGAATAAAAGGTAATTAGTGAAAAAGTTAATTCCAATCAATCAATCAAAAGAGGCCTTACACAGACCAAAGACGGCATGCTATGATTTGAGAAATATGATTAATTATTTCCCCCTTTGCATAAAAGGTCCAAATAAAACAAAAACCAAGATGTTCTTAAAACTAACAAAGTCTCAAAAAACATATCTGACAGAGAGTTTTGGACAAATAATGGAATTGGTTCATTTATCCAACCTACTAGTTGAAAATTTTTATTGGAGAACACACTCATTGTTTTTACTAGTAGAATAACAGAAATACAAAATGGTTTAATATGGTAGTGTTCTCAATCATAATCACTCAATGCTATCTCCTCAACTGTTAGAAATGAAGAAATTAGAAAAAAATGAAAACGCAAAGCAGAGCCGAGCCAAGAAGACTTATGCGGTAAGGGAATGCGGCCAATCTCAAAGCCAAATGAATATAACATTCCCTCTGAAGGGTCATGTGAGAGTAAGTATGTGGGTAAGTATACACAGTGGATAAACATACATCCATAGCACACTTGCTGATATGAGAAACATATCTATATTAATTTAAACAAGAAAGAGAAATATGCTCTTGTTTTTTAACATGTCCAGGCTTCAAGCACAGAAATAACATTTTCAATAGAACAGAGGAAATATATAAATACAGTTTTCTACTTCAGCATTATCCTTTCTTTTCAAATAAATCTAGAAAATCAACCACTTCATCTAATGTAAGTGTAAATACATGTGACTATGTACTTAATTAAAAATCTATTTTGGAAAAGGAGAGAAGAAAGCAGCACGATATGTATTTGATAAACTGAAGTGCAAACAGAAGGGAAATGACAGGTCTAAGCTCTAGGAAAAACTTGCCTGAACTTTCATTTTATTGATACGGAATAGAAAAAAGCCCAAGAGGAAGGGGGGAAAAAGTGAATTTCTGCTCCCATGTAAATGGTTCAAAGTGCGGTTACTGACCAGGAAAGTGTCTCTTAGGTTTGCTATTGCAGAACCGAGACTTCAGATGGCCCCATTCAGATGCCCCAGTAGCCCCCTCTTTATCTGGCACTAGGTCAGTTACCTGTGAGCCAAAAGCCTAGCTATCCTAGACACCCTCCCCTTTTCAATATTATTTTATTGAAGAAAAAGCAGGCAGGCCGAGGCAGACACTAGGCATATGAAGTGTACCTACCTCTCCTAAATAGAAACAATGGCCTACTGCCTAAGATTGCTTCCTTGTTCCTGAGGATTCCAAGGCTCTTTGCCCAGGGTTTAGTCAGAGGGTTTTATATGAGAACACAAAATGCGTGGAGCAATGCAATCTCCAACACCACCTAAGTCGAAGATGCATATTTAAAAACTGTTCCAGCTGAGGACAGTAGCAATCCTCTGGAATGCTGGTAGATTGCCACACCTACTCTTCTGTAAGGAATGAAGGACTTGCTGTCCCATCGGGCCCTGGGTTGCCGAGCAGAAGTGGTAGAGGTGGGGAATCTATTCAGTGTACAACTGAGTAAGAGAAAAAAGATGACCTTTTGGTTTTATTAGCTCCATCCCTGCCTTGGACTATTCTGGGAACATAATTTACTCTGAGATAATGTGTTTATTCCACAAGTGCTTAAATTTGAGTGGCTTAGATCCCCCTTTAAATCACACTTAAGACACAAGAATGCATAGAGGAGTTGAAACACTAGTTAGAAACTGTTAGTCTAGACCCAAAAAAAATAATCGAACATAAGCCAGAAACTAAAATTTGTAAGAAAAGAAAATCCTAAAATACAAAGCAAATGTTGGTCACTTTCAAATGACCTACTTGTTTGTCTTTTATCAGTTCTGTCTCCACGCTTGCTCTCTACAGCTAGAAAAAGGCAGGGACATTACTCCCTGATTTTAAAGGGCTCCTGGCTAGTACTAAGGGGTAAAATGAACAACCACTTAGGTATTCCTGAGAGATGTTAATTTACTTACTCTCTTTTGTCATCAGGGGTATTTTGCTGTGCAAGTCCAAGAAGTACTGGTATGGAAATTAAAAACTAACAACCCTACACTGGTGTCAAAACACGTGGGTTCAAGTCCCAAATCTACTCCTCACATACTTCCTTCCTGTTCGAGCTTTGCCAGGCCACTCACTTCTCACTTTCTCCACTGAAATTATACCATTTGTGATTTTTATATACCTCTTAAACTATGTTTCTATTCTAACACAAGGTGTCAGTAATATTTATTTATGAGATATAAGTGGTTTAATCTAATACAAATGATACAGAAACCCTGGAAAAATATAAACTTCTTCAAAAAGCATGATTTCTCTCCCATGTTAATTTTTCCATAGTTCTATTGCATTAAAAGAGAGGTGAGACTAGTTGAACAACACATAGTGTTCTGTAGTGTCACAGAATGGAAGCTCAGGGTGAATTATTGGGAGTTAAACTTATAGAGGTGATGCAGACTTTACTTAGTCCCTTGAGAAGCATTGAGAATGGTCCTAGGAATTAAAAGAAGATTGGATTCCTTCCTAATTGTTGTTGGCGAGGCCAAGACCAAGACTAACAAGTTGGTCCTTCACAGCTGTGAGGCTCTGGCAACCAAAAGAATTTTCTAGTTATGTTTTGTCCTGATCAAAACATAAAAAATGGAGCTGTCCACCAAAAAAGTAGGAAATCTGCAATGCGAATAAGTAGAGGACCTGGAGGCCAAATTCAAAGATCACCAGACACGGTGCAAGAAAAGCAAGCATTTCAGGACAGGAAAGAGTAATTTGCTAACTTGGTAGTAAAGTGGCAAACCTCTACTTTATCTATTTCTGCATTTTTTTTACAAATCCAAACTTCCGGGTAAAAAGTAGAATTAACTGTCAAAAAGGAAGAACATTTTCAAATGTTCTCAGCTAGGGTTTAGTGGTATCCAGGGGCTTTCTCTTCCTCCCAATAGCAATAGCACATTGTTGGCCCAAGTGAAGTTGTTATTTGTACAGAAACCTTTTGGAGAGTCCATGAAGCAGAGCTGGTCAAACTAACTCTCAAGATAAGGACCCTGCAAATGGTTATACACATATGATCTGCATTACAGTGAGTCTTGAACAAAATGATCTTTATCAGATTTTCTCTTAAGTTTTTCCAACTCTTGACATTCAAATATCCTTTTTGCTCCAAAAAAATAATGTGCTAATAACAGTTTTTTGAAATAGAGACAACTATAGAGATTATGGATGAACATTTATCTCCTGTTATCATAACACTCGTACAGTTTTAATAAAAGGTTGGAAGTAATATCTATTTAAATTAAATTAAGAAAAAGAAAAGAAGTTTACTTTTTCTGACAAAGCAAATTTATATTTTTTTCTTTGATTTCCTTATACTTTGGAATGAAGGGCTGCTATTAAAACTTTCAATAAACCCTTAAAATAAACTATGCGATAAAGTAATATTAAGTTTGGTCTTTAATGAGCCATTTTTGCTATTTTATAGGCATTCTGAAATGATAACGCACCCCCTAATCATAGCCTCTCTAATGTTGCCTTTCTGGGATGCATGTCCTTTGTCACACACCATGGCACAGGGAAGGTGAGCTGGGTTCCCTCACTGTCATTGACACTAATAAGCTCTGTGATACTTAACCTCTCAATCTCGATTTTCTTCACTGTAAAACTAAAGCACTTGTTTCTAATTTTATTTGTTCAGCTTCTAGATAACATTTGGTGTGCATTTGATTTCATGAACTCCCCCAAGAATCTGCAGCCCATTAGTAGCAACCTCTGAACAACAGATTCTTCAAGGGTCTTACCAAGACTCTTATTCTAGAGTTGGGACAAGGAAGGGGAATGGGAAGGAAAGACACGAACAATACTTACTTTTCAAAGAAATGTCTGATAATCAGCAAGCCAAATGCATACGGAATTGTCATATACAAATGAGAGGGCTTTACAAAGACGAGTCCATCATGATCTTCAAGATCTGACCACTTTATTGCTGGAGGAAGCCAGAATCTTTCCAACCAAAACCAGTCTTTAAACGTCTGAAACATTCTAGAGAAGTAGAAACAGAATACATTAGACTTGTAAAACAAATAAAATTGAGATAACACGGAGCACCTTTACTCAAAATGCCTAAACCAGAGCGTTCTGGAGGGGAAAAAGGTAACAACAGAACACTAGTATGATGGGTTTCACATCTCTTTGATGCATTAAACAAGAACAGCCCTGCCAATACTCTCAGAACAATTTTGGCCATGGTGGGCAAACTGAAGTTTAATACCTCACTGTTCATGCTTTCCGTACAACACATGTTAATGTTATGGGTATGCATCTTCCTCTTACATGACGCTATGGTATGAAACATAAAAAATAGTATCTACAACTTCAACCTGCCAAAGGTCAACCTCGTGAAAGCTCCAAATATGTATAAAGCTTCACTAGAGCCCTAAGAAGTTCTCTAGCAGAACAAGAACAAGCGCATTTTGTTTCATGTTACAGTAAGTTCCAATTAGTCCATGTCAACAAGTATTTATTGAGATTCTACTATTTGTCGAGCACTGAGGACTCAAAGATTAAAAAGACAGAATTCCTGCCTTGAGGGCCTTCTAGTCTTGTAGGCAAGGCAGGCCTGAACAGACGACTCTGACACTTTTTTTTTAAGGTACAATAAAAAAGGAATATACAGGGTGCTGTATGAACAGATGATGGGCGCTCAGCCCAGCCAGGAAGTGTCAGGAAAAGGTAATTGGAACAGATGATCCTTGAGATGTCTTGAACAATTAGTAGAAATAAACCAAGAATGGCAGGAAATGGGGAAGAGGGAGTAGAAGTTTTAAGGAGAGAACCCAGAAATACAGAACACAGAATTAGATGTTCTAATTTCATTGTATAGGCTGTGACCATTTTAATCTTGATATTTTGACCATGAGGATGTTTTGATTTCATCTTTTAAAAGTGAATCAGGGGAAGGGGTCAAATATATTCCCAGATTCAATACCTGGTGGTCAGAATAACTCTATCAAAACCTCTTGATGTGTAACTGTCATGGTGCTCATGGAACCAGCAGTTTGGCACCACTACAGGCTAAGGATCCGAGGTGTGGGATGGTAGGTTACACACAGGGGCCCAGAGTCTCCGTTTACCATCCTGGCATAATTATTAACAGCACCCCCCCCCCCATAAGTGTTCCAGTGTGGGCAACGAATCACACGGCCTCTCTCTTCAAAGGGCTGGTGAGACAGGTAAGGCTTGGCCATCGAGAGTCTGTACTCCATGCTAAGGAGCTCGGGCTTCAGCTAACAGAACCCACTGATGAGTGTTACGCAGAGGAGCAAAATGGTCAGGTATGTTAGAAAGGTCACTTTGGTAGCTGGGTACTCTGAGCCCGCATGGTTTCTTTGTACCAAGTAGAGGATGGAACCCTCTCTGGGCAGATTTCTATCCAGCGGAATGAGGCCTGGGTTTCAAGTCCACATGCCCCTGGCCAGGCACAGACGTGGCAGTTCTGCTGGCAGTGGTATGGAACACATTTCAGGAGACAGAAAGACTGGAGGGCAATTGGGAGCTCACAGCATTAGATGCAGTGGAAATGGGAAGGCTTGCGCTAGAGCAGTGGCATCGGGGAACTGAGGAATAATGTCATTCATGAGATGACACATGAGATCCAAGCTGGGTAGGGATAAAGGGAGGCCTGGAGAGAAGTGACATCACAGGGTAAAAGATAGAGAACTCAAGGGACCGGAGGTGAACAACAAGTGAGGTGACAGTGGGACAGAGGACCCGAGAGAGTGGGAAGACCGCCAGAGGGAGGCTCAGAGTGGAGGACTGACGTTTGATTTCCAACTTCAGATGAGGGAGAATTCCAGAGTGTGGACCCCAAATCCTTCAGAAAAATCCACACTGAAACTGATAAGCAAATCCTGATGCGATAATGCCCTACTTGTGCATCCGCTGTTCAGAGACGGCTCATAAGTAGCACTAACTCATTACACCCCCGCCTGTGAGGCTGCCTTTTTTTCATATATTAACCTTTTTACTATCATTCAACCCTGGGGAGGGTAAATCTCATTAATACAGTTACAAGTTGCACAAGTGTGGCGCAGTACAGATCATCAAGGAAGATTTATTGAATGCATCCTGTCTGTCAGGCTTTGGGGCTGCAGAAAGGAAGGGGATGGTCCCAGACTTCGGAGCTTACAGCGGAGTCAGCACTGACGTGGACCTGGACTTGGGAGGAGGCAGCGAGGCTGATGAAACAGTTGTTGAGGAGGAATTAACACACCTTGGTGAGGACACTGAGGATTCAAGCTTGGTCACCTGGGACATCTGACTAAGTGACCAAAAGAGGAAATTTGCTTTGAAGGGCTCAGCCAGATACAGCTCAGAACAACAGGAGGCACAAGTCTTTGAGCCAAACTTCTCCTAAAATTCAAACTTCCTACAGATCTTAGAAACCAACCCAGGCCATAGGAGTCTCTCTGTAATGGACAAATCCTATTCCAGGCGCTGTCCCTCATGCATCAGAACAACATACTCCTGCAAAGGCAAAGATATTTTTTCCTAGAAGTTTGCCTCCACATGTTTATTACTTTATTGGCTCCAAACTTAACAGACTAGGGCTCAGGGAAGAAATAACAATGGCAGTGAGTTATATTTTTTTTATATTGTTATAATAATTGTTATACAAAATAGTTTACTCATGCCTAAAATAATATGACTCTAGGCAGTACAGATTACTTTGTCTAATGTGAAATATAAATATTTCTAACTTATACGTATTATAATATTTATAATTTAGTGAATAATAAATAGCTAAAATTTATAATTCTAATTAAAGAATTAAATGAATAGCTCACAATGATTACGTGGGGTTGCTGCTCTAAATAATGCCCTGTGCAAGCAATGAATCAACATGTGCTGAGAGCCACAGGAACTTCAATTCCCAACAGCCAGACACACTGAAAGGGAAACAGACAGAAAGGATCAAACTATCCATTTCGGCTGCTGCGAAAGGGTTAAGAATCCCTTCTTCACATCACACTCAAAAACCGGTGCAAAGTGAAACACGGCCCTGAAAATGAGGGCTAAAGGTACAAACTCCTAGGAGACCCTACAGGAGCCATCTTCATCACCTTGGGTTAGGCAAAGCCTTTTTCCATGGGACACCAAAAGCAAGTGAAATGACAAAATATAAAGCAGATCAATCGGACTCGTGAAAATGAAAACCTTCTGTGTGCTGTTAGCCTCTGCTGTCCTAAGCCACAGGCACCCTTTAGAGTCACCTTTCCCGGTCCCAGCATACTGCAGATGCCATTCGGAGAAAGCCAGCACCCAGCCCTCACAGTAGCAGGGAAATCACCGCTGCTGAGTGAAGTTGGTGCAGTGCCTTTCCCACTGTCAAAGCCAAGGTGGACAGTTCTCCATTTGCTGGCAGTCAGCCTGGGATGGCCTGTGCTTGGCCAACTGGATGCTTTTCTCGGGACTCTGAGTCTGGAGCAAACAGCGCTATCCAGCAGCAGCCGATGGCGTCTGGCCTAGGCTGCAGCTGCTGCTAAAAAGAGTTGTCTCTCAGCCTCTTGGCCTTCCTGATCTCCTTGGTTTCTACTGTCATCCAAGCCTGGCCCACTACCCTCCTTCAATGCTGCGAGTCACTTCCAAGAAAGTCCTTTGTTTATGATAGTAAGAAAGACGCAGCTTCGGCTGCCCACAACCAAGAGTGCTGATAGATATACCTAGTGTTTTCCCTTTGAACTGAATCACAGCTGATAGCTCCAATTCAGTCGTCTGAACCTTAAGTTTAGCAGAAGTGCCTGGATTAGGATTTTCTTCTACAGCTTAAATGGAGAAGCAGAAACGCCCTGGAATAACTGAGGACGGGCTGGCAGACTGTAGCATTTGTCAGTTCCTCCCTGTTTAGCCTCTGATCTCATCTTGCTGATGATGGACACTCATTTGTCCCTTTTCCTTTCTTTCTCCCCCATTTTTGCTGCTGGTCTGCCTAAGTTTCAAATCTGACAGCGGCCCTCATAGTCACTGCTAACTTAAGGCTTTTTGTTGTTGTTCAGTGTAGAAGAGGCTGCTGATCTCCCTGACACAGACTCAAAAAGATGCCGGGTGGAATGCAAAACATACGACAGACACGAAAAGCAGAATGATACCTTTGTGCTGTGTTAACTAAGTACTGCAATATTTCAACAATATCCAGATGGAAAGAGAATTAGAAAGGATTGGGATGGAGAGATACCTGCATTTTTAAAACCCCACAAATTACTGCTCTAAAAAAAAAAAAAATCTGAGCATTTGCAACAATGAATCTGTCACTCGGGGACCCTGCCTATGACTCAGTCACTTTTTGGACAGTTTGACTCCCACATTGAGTTTGCAGCCCATCGCTCATCTTTATTTATTTGGCTGAACTCTAGGCCTTTCTGGCACCTGAAAAACTGTCAACTCAGTTAACAACTCCTCAGTCTCTCTGCTTGGTATGCTGTTGGAAGTAAACAGACTTATTCACTCCTTGGCCATTCCCAGTCCCTTTTTTTCTCATCAGCTGCTCAAACTTCCCTTTTCCCATCCCTTGTACATTCTTAAGTACTGCAATTTTTAGTTATATAAAAATATCTGAAGGAACTACAATTTTTACTTATATAAAAAAAGTTGAAGCTATTTTAAAATAAGAAATATTTGCAAGAAAAATATTTGCATGTATTTCTTTCTATTTAGGGAAGCATCTGTAATGGAGGTGGCATCATAGCCCAGCTGTGTTTTCCCACCTGCTATTATTGTGAAATTTTTAAACTCTAGTTTCAACTCCAGCTGCCAGTCGTTTGCAGGAAGACAATCTAACTAATGTAGGTTCTTATGACTCATTATTTTCTGACCTCATGGATACAAGAACCAAACAGGGTGAAGGAAGCCTGTTGAGCCACTTTCTCAGATGAACACCATTAAATCTGACCTTAGGACTGAAGAAATAAAACCATCTGGGCAGCAAGTTGATCACTATTTGCAGCAATATTTTTTTAAGTACTAAAAATACAGCACTTAAACTG